GGAACTTTTTCCGAATGAAAAAAACAGAACATGGGGAATGGATCTTAATAAACTAAGAAACAAGAATCAAAGAGAGCATGATAAAATGATAAAGAGTTCTATCGACAAAGAAATCTGAATCAATTTAGAAGATAGGCAGTCTAGAGCCCATGCTCACACTTAGCATATTCTCGTACGGAGTACTCGAATCTGCATAATACATTCTCTGTGGATTTTGGATTATTCAGTCTTCTGAAAATGGAAAAGCCTAATTTCAATACAGAAAAGATAAATTGCCTAAGAAAGTGGAAATAAGTTCACCCAATATATCTTTATCTTCCAGCAAAATTATAATTGGAAAAGAACATTTTTCCAGTAGTCAAACAGGCGCGTCAGGCAAATAAGAACTAATGGTTCCTAAATCATTGCCTCCAACAATAGATTTTTCCTGCTCCAAATTATTCATATTTATCTTTTCAAGTCTGGTTTTAAACATAATCTTGGAAAGTGAAATTCATCACCGGTTACAGCTCTGAGAATTACATATCATCTTGTTCAGCTATAAGCTCATTACAGCCCTTGTACAAGCATTGACATTTCCCAGGAGACTAACAAAGGATGCAACCCATTAAAATAAAATCTACTCAAAGATGTTCTTCAATATTAAGTGAACCCTATATCTGTCTTCTCAAAAAAGGCAATCTATGTCCCGATTCTTGAATCAGAATCTGATGTCGAGGGATATGTTCAAAACTCTGTTTGAGTTATTAAAACAAAAGGAAGGAAGAAGTTCTGTTCAAATTAGTAAATCAGTGTTCCAGATACCTTTTGTATATGTTGTTCATCTAGATATTAAATATAGTGAGCATTTTTGGAAAAACAAAAACACATATTTATACATATAGATGAGCCATATTAAGCACAAGCACCTTGCAACCATTTGAGGAGATATCCATTGTTGCTTAATCATTTTATTTTCTTTCTATTTTCTAAAGAAAACCAAAGAATGACATTAGTGGGATACATAATTCTGAACTGGAATACACAATCACTTGTGAAGAAACTCGTATAAAAAACAGGCACATGAGATTGAATTAAATACCTTATTTGTCCAGGTTTTTGTAACGAATTTTGATTCCTGTCATTAGTTTGTTTCACAGACACCATTTTAAAGGTACATAATTGCACAACTTTAAAAGGAATAACCATTTATAAAGAAAAAAAGTCACATTACTTTAAGATTTTTTTATAGTCGAGACTCTAGGCCTTCAGGATTATGACATGGGTAAGAATTGGAAGCATTGGAGCAATAACAAGCATAGACTTGCTCCAGCCTTTTATTGTTTGGCAGTCACTGGTTAGAAAGACACCCGAAACAGGTTAGATTGGACTACCAAGACACCATAAACAAATGTCACGCAAGAAAGGCCTAATACTTACTATATCACCAATAATCTTGGCACGAGCATAATCCATTTTTAAAATGATGGAATCGCTTTATATCTATCACCACAATCTCCCTTTGACATATCTTACTGGCATGCTTCATCAACGAATGAAAATCCCTGCAAATACGTAGGTTTTTAACAATTCTAAGAATTGTTCCAGGACCTGTGCTAATGAGCCCAAAAGCAAGTGCCAATTTCTCGCTATGACTTCCCAGTGCATCTTCTTTCTCTTCATCTTCAACGTTATGAAGTACCCACTCAGTTTCTGGCATGTAACCTTGCTGTCTAGCACATGTTGTTATTCCTCCAGTCTCAAGTAGATCTCTTGCGTACTTTGATGAGACTGATCACCAGCTACAAAATTATGCACTTGGTCAACCACCTCAATGGAACTCCATCCCGGATCTTTGTCTACACCTCTATCCTTCATGGAAATTCTCACAGTTTCCACATCTTCCCATCTCCCTACCCCAGCATAAACATTTGACAGAAAGACATCGCTGCCCGGATGGTTAGGCTCGAGCTGCAGGAGCTTCTCTGATGCAAATTTTGCCATTTCTATATTTTTATGAGCCCTGCAAGCACAAAATAGTGAACCCCAAATCAAAAAATCGGGATCAGTTGGCATGCTTTAAATAAAATTTAGAGCCTCCTGTAAGTGTTATGCCCTAAGTCCAATCAACTTTGAATATAAACACTT